ACATATTCACATCGTATTATTTATTGGATGATGTTCAGAGCAGAATTTATTGTTCATAATCATACTAAAGTATAGCCCAATTGGTTATCTTGGCAGTTGCTAGGGTGGCCTTTAAGGTCGCTCCAGAGAACCGTCAATCTTCAAATTCATGTATTCACAGGATATCTTTATGCACCTTAGGGTAAAATATAAGCCACCTCAGAAACAGCTGAAATGAACAGTTAGATTTCTGTATAAAGAAACCTAATTGATTATTCAAGTCGCTATTAGAGTGGCTTTTAGAGTCTTTCAAAATATCGGGATCAAAGATGCAGCCTAATAAGAATTTAAACAAAGAGAAAATGAATAAACGTTAGAATTCTAATTTTCTCAATGGTACAGTGAAGATATTCTGATAACCCTGGATATTTCTTCTTCATGCTAACCATCTGTCAGACTTACATTGGCCACTTTCGATAACTGTGTACTATGAAAGAGTTAGTTCGCTTCTTACTCTGCCTAACCCCTCTAAAAATATATGTCTACCTAAATATATACCATTTATTCGTTTGCTGAAGACTAGAAAATATGCCATTTTTGAACGTAGGCATGAAAGCAGGCAAGCGAAATTCACTACTGGGTTAAGTAAATAGCCTCATACTACCTAAATAGATTCGAAGAATTCATCAGATGCCTTAGAGTAATTTAGCACGTGCTAGCCAAGTCTACCATGTAAAGATGTTTTTATAGCCTAATTCCGTTTTCGTTTAACGCTGAAGCACAAAAATCTAATCGGTAACTGATGTATCCGTACTAGTGATTCTAAAGGCCAACTCAACAAGCACTCAGCTAACCAAACCGTTTCCTCTGTTTCGGCCAAAACATTGTTTTTTCATAAAATATTGAAACCTGATTGACTACTTTAGTAGTTGTTACAGTTGTCTTTAGAGCTACTCTCCTTTTCTCTCTGACTCATCTGGTGTGACAGTGGTGACAGTAAGATCAATTCGGAAATGGTGACTTGGTGCAGCAGTAATAGATATAACCAGCGTCCAGTATTTCTGTCAACGCGTTATTCATAAGACCCAATAGGAAATTTAAAACAACCAGGGGCAAATTGACCGGACAAATCAATAATGATGCACAGTGTGACAAAAACAAACAACGTGAATGAAGGAAATTGAAAGGCAGAGAGGTCAGGGTTTGATAAAAATTTTCCTCCCCAACTAACAATTGGACAACATACAAGGTCAATAAAAACACTATCGAAACATTTGTGTAATTCTCGAATACATTTCACTTCTTTATGAAGTGTCACTAAGCCTAGTGATGGGACGTTCACGACAAAATATTACCGCGAAACCACCATCAAGATTAAGAGCGGTAGGAACGACCAAACCGTTAGATCAGGGAAACGATAGTAACAGTTTAGCGAAAGGCAAGCAGTGATTGGAATGAAACTTATATCTACAGGCTCTAGATGGTGACATATGTTTCATCTGCTTTGGAAATACGAAGCAAGTATACTATGCTAGTCAAGTCTCTTCACCCGTACTCCCGTAGTAATGTAAGGGTTTACGGAGAGTTTGCTTCATAAGTAACAAAATTTGGCGGTGTACACCAACGACGTCCACTGTCATCATTTCTATGGATGTGACGATCGACTTAAGCTTAAGTGCTACTGATTTCCTAAGGACTGACTGACTTCTAGGGGAACACTTGCTTAACTAAGTGTAACCACATGAAACAGTCCTGCTAGGCGAAAACGCTGATTAAATGCAGATGCTTCTGAACCTGTTGAACAAAAAGCTGAGTATGTTTTGCATGAATCTTGCACTTGTCAGATGTAAGGTTACGCTTCAGAACTAGTTCTCATCGATACCCAATTTAAAGATAGGAAAGTGAAGGGACTGAGTGCTTCAACCACTCCACCTTCTTGGGTTGTTGCATCAGCACAAATGCGTTGGCTGTTGACGAAATCTCAACTAGGATAAAAGAGGCCCGTTCGGGATTTCCCAATTCACGCTATTTCTGACACCGCTGAGATATTCAATTAACTTTAAAACGATGAGTATACTTGGCTGCAAATCGCTCTGTCTTCTGTCCAAAAGGCTGTGAAACATGCCATCTGAAACTAGTAAAATATGAAGAGATTACAGGTTTTTGAACACAGGTGCCTTCACAGCATTACTCGTTTGTAATTTAATAGCTATGTGGGCAATGTTGAGGTTGGACTCAGACTAATCAGTGAGAAAAATAATTCCAATTTTCAACAACTGAGGTGACTTGGACACGTTTTGTGCATGCAGATCCACTGCCTATATCAACGGCAATGTTAACCGAGGCAGAATTCGGTTTTAAGCAAGCTAAGGGTTTCCAGACCAAAACGGGGCACTAGTCTGTAAGCTCTCTGGTTTTTGTTATAACTTGTGTGAGATATCCTGCTAAGGTCTTCGTGATGATAGAGGTAGAAAGCTGATGACTTTCTGTGACATAACTGGTGATCGGTTACAAAGGTGCAGATGCATATACGGGGTAACGAAAGTTAGAACCTCAGAGGTTGCAGATACACCTCATTGACGAGTGCCAACTAGCACTTTTTATAATTTTTTATAAATCTTTATCTATTTATTCACTCTCTTCTAATACACGTCCTTCAACTTCCATGTACTAGGCTCTAGGCTGATTTGTCTGACTCACAGATGTAATTATTTCCCTTATTTTGTTACTAGTTGGGCTTCAACCCTCCGCCCACCCATTATTCCAGGTATCTAATTCATGCAAGGCTTTATTGGGCTCACCAATCTGTTTTAACTGCTTTCCTTCTGATGTCACTGGAGTGTAGTTTTACACTTTAGAAAGTAATGAAGTAGATTTTTAAATTACATTCATCCTTTGGCTTAATTCTCTATTCTGCAATTATATTCTCAAGAGATTTAAGATGACTTTTAAGTCAAATACAGACAATCTGAAAAACTGAGTATTCCATGCTATCTGCAGTTTGATTATTAATTCATTCTGGAGGTTTGTGGGGATTTATTTGTTGATTTCAGGTTGGTATTCATCGTGGACTGGCATCAGTTCGAGAATCATTGGAAACCTGGGAGCACTGAACAGCTGTTGCGTCCTAATATGGGACTCCTCAGTGGTGCGCACCCACAATCCCGCCAGAGAAATATGGACCACTAGTCTCGATCCAGTGGCTGGATGGTAGCGTGTTGTCCACGTAACCTGAAGTTCCTGGTCCGACCCCTGGCAGGTCGTTGGTGCTCGCTGCTGAGGAGTCTCATACTAGAGCGAAATGGATGTCCAGTGTTCCCAGGTTTAAAAAGTCTCTCTAATTCATGTTATTCCATGATGAATACCAACCTCCAATTAATAATTACCACGATTCGTCCTCCGCATAGTTTTTCATCCCATTTGCATCGGTTTCGAGCTTCTTGCTCAGTTTGACGGGGTTAATTGACGTCTATGGTCTAGATATCCCCATAAGAGTCTTACACCATGCAGGCTATCAATAATCTTCTTAGTTATTAATTTCTATATATTACTAGATGTCTTGATGTAAAAGTTTGTTGCATAAACACCTTAATAGAGTGAGTATTTTAAGTCAAATCGAAGGTGAATATCTCCAATTTTTTGAGGAAAACAGAAAAGCGAACTGGAAACTGCTCAGCATAAATCAAGTATACAACAAGCTTTATATATGTTCTGGTGTGTTATGGAATATGCATCTCTGATACCTGGTACTCAAACGGAATTTGGAGTGAATATTGGGAAGAAGAAACTCAAACAAGAATTATCGAGGTCAACAGACATCCATAGGAATCAGAACGACGATAAAGTGAACAGACACAAAGGTGTCTCTAATACTAAGCTCGTATAAAACTACTGAACAGCTAAACTGTTAGGGCTTTTCATGGGTAATGTGTCTAACTGCAGAAGTGAGTGGCACCGGTTTGGACCTCTCAGGGACATCGACCCCATCGAGACTGCAAATACGCCTTATTGACGAGTGCCAACAGGCACGAAACCTAGGTTCAGGGCTTCCTGCCGATTCCTTTCAGTCAACCACCATAAATCAGAATGCATCGCAATGCTCAATCTCCTAGATTACGGGCCACATTGAGAAATTATCGAGTAAGTTCAGTACTCAGGACTAAACAACATGAAATTAGTTACACTCCAGTCAATGTACTTCACTTTTCCACTTTCTCCATACATTGTGTTCACTAACAGTTGACTGGAAATTTTGCAAGATTTTCGATTTTCGTTCCAATGACTGAATAACCAGCGTAGTTTAACAACAAGTCATATCACACTTAATTTGATATAAATTTGTGCCTAAATAGTCTATATCTTTTCAAATAACTCATTTTTGTATCATACGGTCCATCTAATTCTAAAATTTTGGTTTGTTGACCTGTAAAAAATCTCACTATTTTGCATGAAAGTTGGCACTAATTTTTGGTTCAGAATGCATAAAATATGTGTAAAAGAACTCGGATCGTTTTCGGAAAAGTGTATGCATTAATCCCATCAGTAAACATCGAAATACCAGAAACGTTTAGTGTTCGGAATAAAAAAATAACCTTCAAAAATTGTACTATAGGTATTATTAACTAATACAAGTATTTGTGAGCTGTTTATGTCAGTCATTAGCGCTCATCAACCAGATAAAATGAATCTAAACACGAGATTCCTGTTAATCTTATGGCAGTTGGAGCTTATTCATGGCGTACCAACATTGATTCAAAACATCCAAATCATCCGCATACCCTCGTGTCAGTGAGACGGGTGACATGGAGTACTCACAACTGACCGACGATGATAAGTTGTACATCCTCCAGCTTTTCGCAGTCCTCCTGAATATGTATTCTTCTGTATGAGAGTGCTTATAGTGTGGCTAATAATACTGTTTCCTCGCACTTCCCCTCTCAACATTTCTGTCGGGCCAAATAGGGCAATGTTGGACAATACACTATAGAAAACGTCGGGCGAACTGTAGGGCCAGGTGTGAGGTTTTGTAAGACTTCCTTTACGTCTGGTCAGATGATTTTCGGCCTACATTTGGCCCCATGGTTTTCCTCTTTGGTCCAATGTCAGGTCTTACGTTTTTGAAAATGGCCCAACGTCTGTCCTAACGTTTTCGACGACGGTGCGACATTTCCTATTATGGCTGTACATGTAGGGCAAATTTCCCTGACGATGTCACCATTTTTGCTTTAATTCCCAACCTTTGGCCCACTGTTTTTACTACGAATCACACTTTCTGTCAAAAAATTGGAGGGATAATGAATAATTCACTTGGAGAGGGTGGTCAAAAATGTGTCCATTCACTTTCCTTATCCAAAACACCTTCACTATTACAACAGCTAACCTCCATATCTTCAGCTGGCACCGGTTCCAGTTCCTTGTCAGAAACCTATTAAAAGGTTAGAAATGAAATGAATGCACAACTTTGTGCCTAACTCCTCTCTGCATTCGCCTACTACAATGGTCACGTTGATTATGAAACCACCATTTGACATTCTTCAGGTAAGACTTTTCAAATTCGTTTTCCACAACATGTTTAGTTTGGCAGAACCGTCTAAAGGCTTCTACAGGTGGGATAAGTATTTAACAGTTTGTTTATTACTAACTTCTCATGCTCAAATCCATGTATGTGTTGCGTACGCCTATCTTTGTTTTCGTTGAACTCCAACACAAGTTTCTCATGAACTACTCTTCGAACGAATATTACAGTATACGCTTCATGCTGATTTTCACGTCTCCAGTAATTACCTTCGAAATGGCGGCAAACTGTAAAGTAGTTATGTACTATTTGGAAACTTACATAGTCCTCTCTGAACTCTTTGTTTACCAACTTCACTTCCAGATAGTTGAACTCTTTTCTGAAAGTTACTGGTAGACCAAGTGTGTAAATCTTCAAGGTGCTATGAAGACTCGCGTGCAAGGCCTTCGTCTTGGAGCCTTTCAACAGCAGATGTTAATTTCTTTAAACAAGCTAAAGCATGTTTTTAAACTAAATAAATACATTACTTACTCATAATTGCAATACCATCTGCCTTGGTCAGTGACGCAGTCAAGTCAACGTCTTCAAGTTTTGATCTGATTAGTAATGTAAAGTTACACAAGATGTTACTTGCAAGTGGCTGTTTATGGCTGTCTCACCCCGGGATGTCAACTGAACTGCCGATCTAAATGATACAATGTTTAAGTAAAATTTCATGCGTTACTTGGTTGGTGGTGTTCATTCTATTGGATATGTTCCTGTTAATCACTTTAACAGATGTTTGACGTTAGCTTACCTTTTTAGGTCTTTCACAATGGTACTGTAATCTGGTTGAGAGAATTGAAACTGAGGACATTCAGTGATAGACGAAGGGTATTCATCTCCAACGGGATTATTGCTAATATCATCGTTCCCATAAATAAATCACGAGAATGATGAATCGATTTGCTAAACCTTTTTCTTGTTGTTTTGGGCATATTATCCCGCTTACGTTCACCTATGAAGTACTTATTCATAAACATGAGAACTCTTATCTCGTCGATTTCATCACACATACTAGCATGTGGTGATAAATTTATGGATCCTAGGGTATACTTACCGAAATTTGAGGTACTTAAAGCTATAAGAGAATAGAGAGATAGAATAGAATATGATTACCCTGCATCCCAGCTTCTGGAAGTAAAATTGGAGGAGTTTCCCGCCCGTGACGTCCTTAAACGCGGTTAAATACCTGCAGAATGAAAACAAGCTTTCCCCTAGGCCACGGATTAAGGCAACTCTCAACCATCTACTATTGCACTTTTCTAATTCTACGATAAACAATACTTCTATAGGGTCGAAGTTTGTTGACCAAAGTGTCTTACGATTTATAACGTTCAAGGTAATGGAATAAAGTTAACTTACTCGGTTGCCGACTTCCGGTGGGAATGGTAAAACTGAATTGAATCACTTCAGGTATTTGATTTTGGCAGGAATCAGCAATAAGTAAGTTTTAATATAATCCTAGTATGTATATGAAATCAGAACAAGGTTTTTCTGAACACTTCGCTGTGCATTCTACAGCTTATTCAGCAATTAAGACTTTAACTAGACATCAAAATATATACTGTCAAATGGTACATGTAACAATCTGTCTTTACGCCATTGGTAAACTGATTTATTCTTCAGACTGACTACTTACAACTAATCACGAAAAAGTGTGGTCTTTGTCAGTTGTCATCAAAGCAAAGTAGTAAAGAAACTTTAAGCATCTTTCTCTGTATGTTATACAAAATGCATGTGTCGCTCAATATTTACTGCACGAAAATATAAGAAGTTGTGCATTGAACAACAATGGAAATATATACATTCAATTAAAAATAAAACTCAAATCAATACATACACATATATACAGCACCTTCGCATCAGACAGAGTAATATATTACCCCTTATAAACAATATTTTCCCAAGAGATGTCATCCAAGCAGACACATTCAAAAATGGACATCAAATCCAATAATAACAAATAGTACAGCAAAATAATCGCAACAGGCGAGTAAAAACATGGCAGATAAAACAGCCGAAATAAAATCCAAAAACGGAAACTTACTACTCAATTAATTTACGTAGTTTAAATAAAACGACAAATTCAGTAAAAAAAAAGAACAAGTAAACACAAGAAGCAAAAACCATGAAAACCAAAGCAAATACAAAAAAACCGCTAAAAAAACAGACGGCGAAACCATCAACAAATAACATGCCACCATTATCAATCAACCTAAAACCACGAACCACAAAACACAAATCCACAAATACCGAAAGTGACTCGTGCAGATACACCCACAGAAGGTTAGTGTGAGTTTTCATAGACTTGTGAGCGATGTAGACCGTATTGACTTTGCATGTGTGACCAGGTGGCTGTCTGTCTGGTGACGTGAATGTGAGTGTGATGTTAATCTGCAGTGATTTCCTGTGATCGACTTCCATTGCGTGTGCAACGGACACCGTTTATTTCCGACGGTGTACACTGCCTGTATGCACGCACGCACGCAGGCATGCACGCATAGCTGGGTGGAGATGAGCGGCAGTGTGTGTGCACCAGTGAAATCCGACAGGTGTGTCAGGTGGATTTGAGTGTTGTAGAAAAGGCGTGGACGTCAGGAGCAGGGTTCGAACCTGCGCGGGGAAACCCCATTGGATTTCAAGTCCAACGCCTTAACCACTCGGCCATCCTGACACATCCGCGCGAGCAACACTAAACATCCACTCCGACACTCGTCTAAAACAACAATCGACACACACACACACACACACACACACATCCCTCAACTGCAGATAGGAAGCTCGTAAACTGTTTGGAATATCAGTGCTCTGAGCTTGACGAACAGTTGACTGTTAAACATAAGACCGCTGAGGCCACTGTCGATGTCGACTACCAGGCTGTTTTAGCCCAGTCTGAAGAAGCAAACGCTAAACTTGAAGCAGAACAGAAACGTTTGCAGGTATGTTCATAAATTACTCAGGAAATGACTACTTCATGTCCACTGATATTACTATCCATATGAAAGGTCTTTCTTGTTTTCTTACATTTCAGGTGAGCGGGAGTGGTTCTCGCTGCAGGTCACTTAATCTTTAGCAGAAAGTTGTTTTCGAGGGTTAATGGGAAGATTTTCGTATAGTCAGAATTGTTCTGTATCTGACACTGACTGACAAAATCAACGCAGAACCTCGCATGCAGATGCATCGGCTCAAGTTGTCACACTTCAAAGTAGTAGAAAAAGAACAGGTGGATAGAAAAGGACTGATATAAAAGTAGATAAAGTAGTGTGTTAGAAAATAAACAATCAGAAGATAACGGTTAGTGCGAAAAATCAAACCTTATAAAATGTCAAGGAGTGAATATACATGCTCCATTGTGACCGATGTCTAGCTATGTCACCAAGATTCCTCAACCACTGATTACGCCTCTACTCTGTCACTTTGCATGTTCAAGGTGTCTGTCACAATGTGGTTGGAACGCTTACTTTTGTCGATTCTGATAGCGACCTCATATGAACACATCTGCCAGATGGTGGTTGCATCAGACGACTATAATTCAGCATATCTCTATTGAGAAGTGCATGTCATAGTTGTCAGTCCTCCAGACGTTGATGTGTCAATGTCATGTTTGCAGTTGAAGCTGAAGGTGAAATCAGGTGATTCATGCATGCTAGAAAGTTGATCTGACAACATAAGTGTGTGCCGATGGCACATTGGTACGCGCGATTCACCGTCTATGATATCCACGTCGCTCCATTGTCCACATTTCACACTCGTCATCTCCACTCATGGATGACTTGAATTGACACGAATACCTCGACACGATCAATAGCCACATATACGTGCATACATGAGCAAGACTTGTGCATATACATGTGATAATCTACTACACAACCAAGCATACACATATCCCCATACTCTCGTGTCAATGATGCGAATTCAAGTGAGACGGCTGACATGGAGTACTCACAATTGATCGACGGTGATAAGTTGTACATCCTCCAGCTTATCCCAGTCCTCCTGAATGTGTACTGCTCTGTGTGAGAGTGCTTATGATGTGATGAATAGTAGTGTTGCCTGACACTTCCATATGCACTCTAGTGTGAATATATGCACAGAATGCTTGTGTGTGTTTTCATTGACTTGTGAGCGATGTAGACCGTATTGACTTTGCATGTGTGACCAGGTGGCTGTCTGTCTGGTGACGTGAATGTGAGTGTGATGTTAATCTGCAGTGATTTCCTGTGATCGACTTCCATTGCGTGTGCAACGGACACCGTTTATTTCCGACGGTGTACACTGCCTGTATGCACGCACGCACGCAGGCATGCACGCATAGCTGGGTGGAGATGAGCGGCAGTGTGTGTGCACCAGTGAAATCCGACAGGTGTGTCAGGTGGATTTGAGTGTTGTAGAAAAGGCGTGGACGTCAGGAGCAGGGTTCGAACCTGCGCGGGGAAACCCCATTGGATTTCAAGTCCAACGCCTTAACCACTCGGCCATCCTGACACATCCGCGCGAGCAACACTAAACATCCACTCCGACACTCGTCTAAAACAACAATCGCACACACACACACACACACACACACACATCCCTCAACTGCAGATAGGAAGCTCGTAAACTGTTTGGAATATCAGTGCTCTGAGCTTGACGAACAGTTGACTGTTAAACATAAGACCGCTGAGGCCACTGTCGATGTCGACTACCAGGCTGTTTTAGCCCAGTCTGAAGAAGCAAACGCTAAACTTGAAGCAGAACAGAAACGTTTGCAGGTATGTTCATAAATTACTCAGGAAATGACTACTTCATGTCCACTGATATTACTATCCATATGAAAGGTCTTTCTTGTTTTCTTACATTTCAGGTGAGCGGGAGTGGTTCTCGCTGCAGGTCACTTAATCTTTAGCAGAAAGTTGTTTTCGAGGGTTAATGGGAAGATTTTCGTATAGTCAGAATTGTTCTGTATCTGACACTGACTGACAAAATCAACGCAGAACCTCGCATGCAGATGCATCGGCTCAAGTTGTCACACTTCAAAGTAGTAGAAAAAGAACAGGTGGATAGAAAAGGACTGATATAAAAGTAGATAAAGTAGTGTGTTAGAAAATAAACAATCAGAAGATAACGGTTAGTGCGAAAAATCAAACCTTATAAAATGTCAAGGAGTGAATATACATGCTCCATTGTGACCGATGTCTAGCTATGTCACCAAGATTCCTCAACCACTGATTACGCCTCTACTCTGTCACTTTGCATGTTCAAGGTGTCTGTCACAATGTGGTTGGAACGCTTACTTTTGTCGATTCTGATAGCGACCTCATATGAACACATCTGCCAGATGG